GGACTGTGGACCAATCGTACATATAATTTTTTACGGGATACATAGTATTTTTGGAGCTTCTATTAATTACTCTAGTTGTATAGAATCAATGACGGGGTACATAGATCATTCACCTTTGCTGTTGTTCCACATGTATTAATTACTCTGGTGGTATATACATAGATTACCTTTTGTCGTGGTACATATTACCATGGTAATTTGTACCTTGGCAAATGGTCATTACAATGCGTAGTATAGTAAAAATGTTGTGTAAGGAGGACATTGTTTTGGTAACGTATTTCGAATGTATGATGTTGTTATTTGTAATTGAAATATATATAGTTGGTTTCTATATAAGTTTACATTAGCAGGTGTTCTTTTTTGTTTGATGGTTGTAAGTGAAACATGCATTACGACATAGGTGATAATATATATAGGTTGTATACCTATTACAGGTTGCGGTGGATACAGGTTTTAACAAAATTTATTAAAATGAAAAAAACAAAATAAAAATATAAAATGACGTTTTTGGTGACAAAACAATTAGTAGCCAAAAAAGAAATAAATTTTTTGGCGACTAAATATTTAGTAGCTAAAACAAATCGAAACACTTTTGGCGACTAACCGTTTAGTAGCTAGAAATCAAAACACTTTTGGCGACAACATTTTTAGTCGCCAAAACAAATGGAAATCACTTTTGCCAACAACATTTTTAGTCGCCAAAACATAATTAAAAAACATACCTGACTAACCTGTTTAGTAGCCAAACAACAATGACCCTTTCCGCGACTACAAATTTAGTAGCTGAAATAACAGTATTGGCGACAAAAGATTTGGTCGCTGTAGATGTTTTCAGTTTTCGCGACAAAATATTTAGTAGCTAAACAAGTGAGTTAAACAAATTCATAGACCCTTTGGGCGACAAATCTTTTAGTCGGTAATGTGAGTTATCGGCGACTAAATTAATTTGTGTCGCTAATAGCTGTTACTTTTGCCTACTAACGTGTTAGTATAGCGATCCCGGGTTTACCCTTGTTGTATAGTGATCCGGACATGTGTCCGTGGATGTTGGTAGTTGTTTATTATCTTGTTTGCATCCTCTCTACTTTGTATATTGAGTTATAGGATGTGTTGAGCGGGTTTGTTACAGGTTGGTCGAGTTTAGAAACCAAAACTAGTTGCCCAGATTTT